TAGAGTCGGATGATACCATCTCAAGTCTGTGGTCTTGTGTAACAACTAACCTTTGTTCATCATACTACATTCTTTTTATGCCCCACATCACATGATCACTCACTCCAGTTCTCCAACCAATGTTCACACCCTTAAGTTGAAACATTCATGAAAACAACTCACCACGTCCGGTCATAACATGTGACAATCAGGTCACAAAGTTCACTCATTACACACTACAACCATCATCGTCTGTCACTCATACTGTCACAGTGGACAGCTCAACTGAATGTCACTCATACTGTCACAGTGGACAGCTCAACTGAATGTCACTCATACTGTCACAGTGGACAGCTCAACTGAATGTCACTCATACTGTCACAGTGGACAGCTCAACTGAATGTCACTCATACTGTCACAGTGGACAGCTCAACTGAATGTCACTCATACTGTCACAGTGGACAGCTCAACTGAATGTCACTCATACTGTCACAGTGGACAGCTCAACTGAATGTCACTCATACTGTCACAGTGGACAGCTCAACTGAATGTCACTCATACTGTCACAGTGGACAGCTCAACTGAATGTCACTCATACTGTCACAGTGGACAGCTCAACTGAATGTCACTCATACTGTCACAGTGGACAGCTCAACTGAACTATGTTTGTTTAGCTCCTCCGCCTGGTGGGGCATGAAACGTTTAGGTGTGAACGTGGGGCCACGGGTCAAGAAAGTTTGAGAACAACTCAGCTACGGCCTGCACCACGGCCCTGCACCACGGCCCTGCACCACGGCCCTGCACCACGGCCCTGCACCACGGCCTGCACCACGGCCTGCACCACGGCCTGCACCACGGCCCTGCACCACGGCCCTGCACCACGGCCTACACGTGAACTGTCATTACAATAACTGGTTCAAGAAACAGAAGCAAGCGCCACCACCCAGTTGATCAAATATTGGAAGCTCACAACCAGAGCCATACAAAGGGGGGCGGCACGCACCCTGGGGGGGGGGGCAATTTCAGAGGCGCCAAACTCTTCATTTTTTTCAAGCAAACTACGCGTATCTATATAAATGTTTTTGGGAAGAGAGAGTCTGAATTCAGGCTTTACCCCGGGAGGGGGGGGGGCAGCTATTGCACACCACGACCCTGACCACACACGGAGATGTACAATAAGGCTCTGCTCACCAGTGCCCAAAATGACATGTACACCAGTGCCCAAAATGACATGTACACCAGTGCCCCACATACATTTTTTTATGGTTAAAAAAAATTAAATAATTAATAAATCCCCCGCCGGTCCCTGGTGCCTATTCGAAACTAGTCGACCGGTCCCCCAAACTTATAGTTTGAGAAACGCTGATTACTGGTGCAGTTGGTTTGAATAGACGTAGTGACGTAGCTAGTAGTGTGAGCACCACTTACTTCAAATGCTGACATGATGCCAGTATCAAAGTAAGATGTCACAGTCAAGGCGGCACACACGTGAACTGACCGTAGGAGCCTACATGTGTCATTAGTAAGCATACTTTTACCTTTTAAAAGTATTTATTTAAGGCCAAAAATGTCTATGAAGAATGTCTTATGAAAAATGTCCATTTTGTTTTTAAAAAAAAAGAATTATATTAATCTTTTGGCTCTTCGAAAAAGATGTGACTCAAAATTAGTACTAGAGGACTTCGCTCCTGCTCCGTTCCCATAGTGGCTACGTTGCTGGTAAAGTAATGCGTAAGATCTTAGTGGAAACAGTAGCCTACATATTGTTTTGAATTTCTAACACTAAAAGTGTTGTTGACTTCATTTGAAGCTATCGAAGTTTGACAGCTCAGTGAAATGGATAGTGGTATTTCTTGTCTGTGCTAATGTGTAAACAATGAAAACGTCGGACAAGTCACACACACACACACAATGTGATGGGTGATGAGCGGTAAGGAGAAAGGTGGTCAAATCTGTGATAGCAAAGCTTGGTCTTACTTTAGGACATATCGGAGGACACATAAAACCATACATATTTTTGTTAAACTTTCTAACTATTAATCTAAATATCTTGATAGAATTTTGTTGGTATGCGGATGATGAACGGATTAATCGGTCACAGGAAGAAGATTACCGATTAATCCGAAAAGTTGCCAATTATCGATTAATCGCCGATTAATCCGAAAAGTTGCCAATTATCGATTAATCGCCGATTAATCCGGTGCAACCCTACTTATTCCAACATCCTTTGTTCTTTTATATAGTTTTTGTTAACATTGTCCACAAGTACTTAGCTCTCATCTCAAAGCATCCCCATGTTTACAACAACGCTAGAAGCCCTGTCATAAAGCAGGCACTTGCCACAAGGAGTGGAGTACAGACTTAAAATCTCTAATCAACACGTGATATAAATAGACATTTTTTGGGCAGCCATGATGCAGCTATTCTTAGAATCATGATGCATCTATATTAAGAATCTTGATGCCATTCCTGTCTCTTTGGACGCAGTCCAACATTTCATCTTGTTACAGTTTACCTTTCAGTTTGATTCGATAAATCTGCAATTATCCAGCAAGATTGGAGACTGACCTGAAGCGAGTAAGCGAAACATGAGCCGATCCAGTGTATTCAAACATATGATGCTAAAAACTGAATCGACATGACCAGAAACATTCCCAGTGTTCATTCAAAAGTCCTCAAACTGCACAACCCAGGTGAGGCGAACGGAACTCGACATCGGAGGTATCTTCGGTTTACAAAAATAAGTTTTGTGTTGAAACTTAAACAAAAGCATCAGTTGTTTAAGACAAAAGCATCAGTTGTTTAAGACAAAAGCATCAGTTGTTTAAGACAAAAGCATCAGTTGTTTAAGACAAAAGCATCAGCTGTTTAAGACAAAAGCATCAGTTGTTTAAGACAAAAGCATCAGTTGTTTAAGACAAAAGGATCAGTTGTTTAAGACAAAAGCATCAGTTGTTTAAGACAAAAGCATCAGTTGTTTAAGACAAAAGCATCAGTTGTTTAAGACAAAAGCATCAGTTGTTTAAGACAAAAGCATCAGTTGTTTAAGACAAAAGCATCAGCTGTTTAAGACAAAAGCATCAGCTGTTTAAGACAAAAGCATCAGCTGTTTAAGACAAAAGCATCAGTTGTTTAAGACAAAAGCATCAGCTGTTTAAGACAAAAGCATCAGCTGTTTAAGACAAAAGCATCAGTTGTTTAAGACAAAAGGATCAGTTGTTTAAGACAAAAGCATCAGTTGTTTAAGACAAAAGCATCAGCTGTTTAAGACAAAAGCATCAGCTGTTTAAGACAAAAGCATCAGTTGTTTAAGACAAAAAGCATCAGTTGTTTAAGACAAAAGCATCAGTTGTTTAAGACAAAAGCATCAGTTGTTTAAGACAAAAGCATCAGCTGTTTAAGACAAAAGCATCAGCTGTTTAAGACAAAAGCATCAGCTGTTTAAGACAAAAGCATCAGTTGTTTAAGACAAAAGCATCAGTTGTTTAAGACAAAAAGCATCAGTTGTTTAAGACAAAAGCATCAGTTGTTTAAGACAAAAGCATCAGCTGTTTAAGACAAAAGCATCAGCTGTTTAAGACAAAAGCATCAGTTGTTTAAGACAAAAGCATCAGTTGTTTAAGACAAAAAGCATCAGTTGTTTAAGACAAAAGCATCAGTTGTTTAAGACAAAAGCATCAGTTGTTTAAGACAAAAGCATCAGTTGTTTAAGACAAAAGCATCAGTTGTTTAAGACAAAAGCATCAGTTGTTTAAGACAAAAGCATCAGCTGTTTAAGACAAAAGCATCAGTTGTTTAAGACAAAAGCATCAGTTGTTTAAGACAAAAGCATCAGTTGTTTAAGACAAAAGCATCAGTTGTTTAAGACAAAAGCATCAGTTGTTTAAGAATAGCGGCAAGAAATATTTTTTTTAAAAACAACCTGCTTAACATAATTGACTTGAGCTATAAATAACTTAACTTGTGGAATGATCTGAAAGTTATAGCAGGTGTGGAGGCATCACTTTGTACACAGGACGCAGTGCAAGCATTAACCAAATGTTGACCAGCAGTTTCAATGGGAATGTTTCTTTTGGGTGAAAGCAGACACAGTTTTGGATTGCATTGGGTTCAGCTGCAGCCAATCTCAAAGTGGGCCACAGGGCCTCAAAGTGGGCCACAGGGTCTCAAAGTGGGCCACAGAATCTCAAAGTGGGCCAAATCAATGCTGCCCTCCTCTCCCTGCCCCCCAAAATTTTGGAAACCAAAAAAAACAACTTTCTGTATGTTTAAGGAGCAGTTGTTTAAATCTTAATAATAGGAGAGAAAAGGTTGGGGGGGGGGGGAAGAGGGAGATAACTAAAATGTAAAATTGAGCAACAAGCAAATACTTGAGAGGTCTTGTTCTAGTTTCAAATGCTGGTCTTTGTGAGAATATTTCGCTATGTCTTGAAACTGAATCTGTGCTATGTCATCAATAAAACATTTCCATTTATTTGGATCAATAAAAGAATCTTATCTTATCTTAAAAGGTAGAGAAGCTCTGGTTTAGCCAAAGAAAATAATAACATTTGAAGAATAATACTATAATAATAGAACTATTTGACCCAACAACATAGAGCTAAAGCTTTTTTCTGTGCACAGACAATACCAACAAAGTGGTATACCAGAGGCGTAGCGTGGTGGGGGCAAGGGGGGACAGATGTCCCCGGGCGCCAACCAACCTCGCTACGCCACTGGGTATACCTTGTGCACTATTTGTACATTAACTATCCATGATGAATTAATTTCTTTTCGCAAAGAATACAAGCTGTGTTAGACATCATTCTTACCTCCTTGAGTTGCTCTGTCAGTGGGTGCCTGGGGTCATACATTGGGTACTCCCAGCCAAGGTCAAGGATGCTCTTGTGCTGCCTGGGCTGAACTGGCTGGTTGCTGTACAGGGGGTCGTACAGATCAGATGCCCCAGGGGTGATGTAAGAATGCTCCTCTTTGTTGATTCTCTCACCAGGGCCAGCAGACGGCTGGACAGGTGGTACTTGTGCCGAGGTCTGGGCTTGAATAGATCTACGAATGGCTGGTTTTGGAGCTGAAGAGAAATCAATGAATGTTGCAAAAAAACTGTTCAATACTCTTCAAACCAAAGTGTATTAGTTCCGTATTATTAGTTTTCAAAGTAACAAAACAACATTGTTTCAAAGAAGTCTGAACATTTTGGGAGACACAAATGGAAAAAATAACAGCTTTAAGGATTGGAGCTGCTGAAACTTAACGTTGCCATTGTGATAAGTTAGATGAAGACCAGATGAGATTCAGAGTTCAACATAATATGACTTATAGAAAGCAAAGAATATCATGAAACATGTCTTCATATGAGGCTATTAGACAAAGTTTTGATGTAAAGTCCGTAATAATTTAGTTCAATTTGGTTTTTTAGTCAGCAAAGTCAACATAATAATTTTGTTGAATTTCTTGAAACCATTTTCTTAGTTAAATGTCACCAAGGGTTCAAAGGTTACATAAGGATTTTCAAAGCTTTTTTACAACATCCAATTAATAGATGGAGCAGATGTGCAGTCTTATTTAGTCTCACCATAGGTTCTTTCCCTTTGGCTTGTGTCTGGAATGGAAACGTTAGTTCCATCAGGGATGGCTGGGCCCCTTAGGTCACCTGGGCCCCTTAGGTCACCTGGGCTACTGTCATATGATCTGTTATGGTTGAGGTGACCATTTAAAGGTGATTGTAAACTAGAACCATCATATGACCTGAGGAACACACAAACATAATAAGAACTTAGTGGTTACAACATTAGACTCCACTACATATTTATTTTAACACTGTTCATTTTTTTTATAAATTCTCAAAACTGAATTTTGAAATTTAACAAATTCAAAAACATTAACCATGTCAATATTAACCGAGTGCTTAGGAAGGGCCGTCCTCAATAGTACTTGAGTGGGCCAGGTCAATCTTTTTACAAAGCTGTTTTTAAATGAATCATTTTATGTAACTCTTTTATAATGTCATGTTTCTTTTTGCTAATTTTTATGTGAAGCACGGTGAGCCTAGCCCTAGACTGGGGTACTGCGCTAAAGAAAACCACTTAAATAATAATAATTTCTTAAACTAATGAAATTTAAATCCTAAAGGGCAACTGATGATATATATTGACAGAAATATATATATACACACACATAAAATATATTATTTCCACAGTTCTTGTATTAAATGAACAGATATGGAATCTTAGAAAATTATTGGTGCAACTATCTTTATGACCTAGCGACTGAAATAATATTGTATCTTTATCTTGAAATCTTCACAACGCACTTGTTCATAGAATCAGCTTCATCCACTGAATGACCATTTTGGCCAGGTTTATCTCTCCTTTTGGAAGCAATGCCAAATGGGTCATTTTTCCTCTTCCTCTCTTGAGATCCAGAGGATGTTCTGCGAAATCATAACGTCATTGTCACAGATTAAATTGATGGACATTATTTTTTCATAATGAGCTAGCAAGGGATACATGTATTTTAGTGTATTTAATTAAGAGCAAGCGCACACATTGTACAAAATATTTTATAGTTTAAGGGCATGTAAGCCTTACTTATGTATTACCTAAATTGTTTTATAGTTTAAGGACATGTAAGCCTTACTTATGCATTACCTTAATTGTTTTATAGTTTAAGGACATGTAAGCCTTACTTATGTATTACCTCAATTGTTGTAATCAATCAAATGGTTTCTAAATGGAAACAATTTCTGTTTTAGGACAGTGCTAGCTAAATATTTAAGGAAACAAAAGTATTCATTTTTTTAAATTAGGAGTATTTAAAAAAAAAAATTGACAGAACTACCTTCTTGGTTTGGCCTTCCTCTCTTTTCTTCTATCTGATGGCATTCTCTCAAAAATTCTCCCAGGTTTTGGCTGGAAGTTGGGGTCTGACTGAGCTTTGAGCAGCTCATCCCAGTACTGGTCAGTTTCATCCATCTTTCTGTCCAGTTTTCTCAGGCGGTTGCTGACAGTTTCTGCAGCTCCCTCCTCATCCAACGCAAGCTTCTTTTCCTCACTGACAGACGTTATGAAGGAGAAGAACATGGTAGTATTATAAAAGTGAACAAGAAAATGTTACTTTACATTTAGATGAAGTAAGTGGATGTGGGTATAGTTTTTTGTTTTTTTTGAGGTGAAATTTTACAACCAACTGAATCTACATTCTCTAAGGTTTCTTGACTTATTTACACATGACATTCACTCAATTCTATAAGAGAACTTGATGCATTTAAGAAAGCTATTTTTTTTCCCCACACAATTACTCATCTAATACTTGCAGTCTAAACTATATAATCTTTGTTAAAGTAAACATTATACAATATAAGATTTTAAAAAATAAATTAACAACCTCTTTGGAAATAATAATGGGAAACAAAAATTTCAGTGCTTTCCGTTGTGTTTATTCATTTACGGCTAATAACAATTTTTAAAAGCATTCTTCAGTTTATAATATAATAAAAAAAAATATTTTTATACGCTAGCCCTATCTTAACTGATGACGTAAGCTATTTGTAGCACTATATGTTTTTGCACCAAGATCGCCTTGCACTTCCCATTTTTACCGTATTTTTTTCAGCATTCTGTGTAAAATATTTACTCAGGGATCCCTCCCCCCTCAAGAACAGAAGCTTTACTAGGTTTATGAGCCCAATCCATCCATCGAAATTATTCATAGCAGAAGTGGACTGCATACCAAAATTAACATGTGTTCTCTTGTATATTTTAATTGAGTAATAAAACATTTTCCATTACCCTTCAAACACAATGATGGGAAGGGCTAGTCTCTCCACCAAAGCTTGCCCCATCCTTGAGGCATTGTCAAAGTCTTTGCCGATCTGAGCCTTGGGGAGAGGGAGATTGCGCACTGCGTCATTGATATTATCGTCTCCCGCCAGAGCTCTAGCACAAGCTGAGATAAAATTGTCCATTTCATCCATCAACTGCAATAGGGAATAAGACTGTTGATTTAGTACCTACAATAACTTCAATGCACAAAGTTGGCAAGCAATTATACATTTTTACTGCCCCATACAATAAATATCTTATGTATAGCTGAACCAGCAAAACCTCACTTTAAATCAATGAGTGATTTCACTCCTTTTTTATCCTGGAACAAATGTGAAAGTACAGATGACATAGACATAAAAATATAAAAGAAGTTTTTAAACAAAATGATTGTAAAGAATCCCTTTTTGTCATCTGTAATAAATGTTCACTGAATAATTAAATGTCTATGATAAGTTAGTCCTTGACCTTATCGGATTCATTCAAGAACATGGCAGAGACTGTCAGACGATTGGCTCTTTCACTGGTTCCTTGGGAGAACCTCTTCCATGCTTCCTCCAACCTTCTGGCCCTGTCATGGTTGGGTTCAATGTCCTGTCTCAAGGAGCGACGTAACACAAGGGCGGCCTGCAGGAGCTGTTTACCATACTCATACGTCCCCTAGACAAGATAGGGAATATTGTGTTTACCATTCTCATACGTCCCCTAGACAAGATAGGGAATATTGTGTTTACCATACTCATACGTCCCTTGGACAAGATAGGGAATATTGTGTTTACCATTCTCATACGTCCCCTAGACAAGATAGGGAATATTGTGTTTACCATACTCAAACGTCCCCTAGACCAGATAGGGAATATTGTGTTTACCATACTCATACATCCACTTGACAAGATAGGGAATATTGTGTTTACCATTCTCATATATCCCCTAGACAAGATAGGGAATATTGTGTTTACCACACTCATACGTCCCCTAGACAAGATAGGGAATATTGTGTTTACCATACTCATACATCCCCTAGACAAGATAAGGAATAATGATAAGATCACCTCATGACTTGCTATGGGTGGTTGGTGCATTTAAACTTAAATAGATAAACAAATGTACAATAATCTTTAAAGCCAAGAACACAGGAACTTCTCTCAGCAATCTTTAACAGAAAAATAAATGTAAAAATAAATTATGGCATAACTGAGATCATACTATTACCAGTTTTCTTTTTTTGTTTGTTCTTCCAGGACTTTTATTATATTTATCCCCAACAGTATTCACATAATCCCCAACATTTTCCCCCAACATTATTACAATTATTCCCAACATTATCCCCATTATACCCAAAATTAGACCCAACATTTTCGCCAACATTACATTATTCCAATTATTCCCAACATTATCCCCATTATACCCAAAATTATCCCCAACATTTTCCCCAATATTTCATTAAAAAAAAACAAAAATTTTAGTTGATTATTCAACTATTTTTTTTTTTCGAAATTAAATAAAAAGATCACTAGATCTAGCGACTGCCTTGGAAAATGCAACCCCATAATGATTAAATATGTTACAATTTTTACTGTTTTTACTTTTAGGGCTGCCTCCTTTTGTCCCTGGGTTGAACACACAACTTGAACTGCCCCAGGGCCATAACTCTTAACACAACACAACCAAGAAGTTATCTCTGTCCATACAAACTCACATGAAGTTTATCGCTATCACTACTCATAAGATGTTTATTAATACTCACAAGAGCAGTTGCCTCAAACTGTTTGTGTTCCTCATGCAATGAATCAGCTTCTTCAGGACTTCTGCCCAGGTCAGTGTGAGTGCTCACCATGACATCACACAGCTCGTTGATCCAATCTATGGCCTGTTCAATGCAATTTTTTTTTTGGAATAGTCATTTTGACATGGATAAAATGTTACACCTCAGAACAGATAACACTTATTCGAATTAGCAAATGTATATTTTTAATTATAATATGTTTAAAAAAAGTCAAACTGTTTTAAGCTGGTCTGTATAACTAATTATTGTGCATGACATTTAAGTATATATGAATATATAGCAAAGTTCAAGCCATGTACTTAAGCCAGTGGGAGATTCAGAATGAATTTTTTATTTTTGTTGACTTTTGAGGTGTTTTACCTCTAAACATTCATATCCCATGGAAAAACTAAATAAATCAAGAAGCTACTCCACATCCTAATAAATCCACCAATGGATTCAGTCACTGTCACATCTGGATAAACCATGAACTCCTCCCAGAAAACTAACAATAACAATGTCAACAACTAAATTGTCATTTCCCTAAAAACCCCTTGTTTTACAGACATATCTCGACACAAGTCACTGAGTGTCAACACCACAATTCGCTGTGGTTGACACCATCAGCGGCAGACCCACCTGGTCTGTATCTCTCTCACAGGTCCTCAGCTGTAAGAGCTGCTGTAGTTTGAGCTTCCTGACATCCGCCAGCTCATCACATCTCATTTTCCTCTCCTGCAGCTCCTCAAGCTTCTTGTTGATGTACTTGATTTTGTTGGCGTAGTCGGGCGTGATGTCTTTACCAAAGGCGTTTTTAATGGGACGGGACATTTCATCTAGCAAGCTCTGGCCATCATTTAAGCTTTCCTGGGCCACTTTGTCTGATATGGAAAAATATAATCTGTATATCTTTGCATAAAAAACATTTGTATAAATATATATAAAATTTGGCAACAATATATGGTAATATGAGGAGGTCAACTAAATGTGAAAAAAAAAATATTGTAATATGAGGACGACTAAATGGGAAAAAAAAAATTATTGTAATATGAGGAGTAGAACTAAATGTGAAAATAAATTATTTCTTGTAATATGAGGAGGTCACTTTAATGTTAACATAAATTATTTCTTGGCGCAGTTAGAAATTTATAGCTTTCACAAAATGACCTCGTCTCTTTATCTTAATGAAATTTTAATCAAAATAATATCAGTTAGAAATTTATAGCTTTCACAAAATGACCTCATCTCTTTATCTTAATGAAATTTTAATCAAAATAATATCAGCGCCTCTCTCATGTGAAATCTTTGGGAAAAGTGTTTAAAAACTGTGAAATAATTACAACATGTTATGTAGTAAACTAGAATATTTTTAATTTGTTATTAATTCGATTCGCTGCATTCCTTGATAAAAAATGAAGGGCTGAAAAACAGCAAAGTTTAACCAATCAAACTATCATTTCATTGAGTGATTTAATTTGAAAACATTTGCAAAGCACAGATAATGTAATTCTGCCTTTCATTCGCTCTGTGACATGCACTTCATTCATGTTACATCACTGGTCAATTCTCACCACAGGCATCACATCTGTCCTGTAAGTTTTTCATGGCCTCCTCCACACTCTCCACAGTCTCCGCCACCACCTCACTACACAAAAGTTCCAGAAGTTCATCTAGGCACTGAGAGAACTGACAGGAGAACAGAGAACACAAATAGTTTTCACAGCAGGCAGATGACTTTTAAAGAATTTAAGTTTAAAGTTTGAGATGTTTCATCAACGAAGAGAAAATAATAAACCAAGAGGATGAGCAAGTATTACTTAAGGAAAAAATCTGCTTACTTTATGTGATAGATTTTTTTTTTTTAAATATCAATAATATTGTCCAAAAAATTTGATCCTTAGAAACAATTACTTATTAAATGTGTTTAATTAGATAATTTTTTCTTTTGATTTTATCTAAAAAATTGGAATGAGAGAAACAATTTGTCTAGAATTAAGAACTTTGTAGATGACATCTTCAGCAAACCTTTGAAACCTATCAGATATGAGATGAAACTCATTAATCTAACAATTTAGTTCTCTCAAATTTCCAGCAAATCTTTAAAATCTGATATATGAGATTAAACTAATTAATCTAAAAATGTAGAAATCCCAGATCTTCAGCAAACCTTTAAAACCTATTAGATGTTATATGAGATGAAACTAATTGATCTAAAAAATTAGTTTCCTCAAATCTTCAGCAAACCTTTAAAACCTATTAAATGACTGTGACACTAGATAAAACTAATTAATCTAAAGATTTAGTTTTCTCACATCTTCAGCAAATCTGTGAAACCTAACAGAAGTGATGAGCAAAGTCCTCCTCCTTTCCAGCCTGGAGGCAAAACTCCTGCATACAGTGTCCATGTAATCCCTCTCTGCCTTCAGGTCATCCACTGCCGACAGGCCCTCCTTGATGATTTCTTCAGCCTTATGTCTCAGTTCAGCATATTGTCCATATGTGTCCTAAGGTAAGTAAAAAATTCCACATAGCAGATAGAAACAAAAATGTTTATACCATAACTTAATTTTCCGAAAGAGGGGGAAAAAAAAGTTGTTTTATCAATTTTTAGGTCCATTTAAAAAAAAAAAATTATAAATGAAGTTATTTATGATCAAAATATTTTTTATTTACCAAACAGAACCCTAATGTAAAGATAATGCTTATAATTGGTATTTTAACATGTTAAATATACTTATATGAATAAAAAGCAATTTATTTTGACATTTCAATTTTGACAAAAACCGACCTGCGTATTTCATACAATTTTAGGCTAAGGGAAATAACACATATTTCTTTCCATGTAGGAAAAAATGCAGTTTGCTCTCGAAGACCTGGTCAAGATGCACAAAGATTGTTAAGTTTTTAAAAAAACTTACAGTACACTTGATCTCCATCTCCTCGTGTCTCCTCCTGAGTTCTTCTGCTGCTTCGTATGAGTCTCCGATGTCACTCTGAGAAGCCAGCAACTTCTCACCAGGGCCCAGAACCCAGTTGACCACCTTTTGGGTAAACACATTGCTCACTATTAATCTTATATCATTATCTCATTATTAATCCAAAATTAATATATCAGAATTTATGATCGATGGATGTCTTTAGACCTTTTAAAAAAAAAAACATGAAATGTTTCTCCATATAATTATGTTGTACTGCAATAACTATTTAACACTGGACGTCTGTAGGGCTTACAAGTTGATAACAACAAACTATTTCTCTATGAACTAGAAGAAAGCCATTCTATTGCAACAATTGTTTATGATGAAAGAAAAGTGTTTTAAAATTCTAGTTAACTCTCCGCATTTCTCAACTCTCTCTGCTTATTATCTAGCATGTCTTTTAATCATTTCAAAGTTCTCACAGTTTTTATGTTCCTCTTCCATTCCTCATACTGTATGTTGGAGTTGAGATTACGATCACTGTCTTCTAGAAAATCCTGCAGCTTGTCTACTCTGTTAGTTAAATACTGGAGCACTCTTTTCACCTGAAGGAAAAGATGTCGGTAACAGTTATACTAACGTTAAATACAAAAAAAAATTATAAACCACAAATATTTAACATGGGCTAACCAAATAGCATTTCATCATTTAATATGATACACAAATATTTAACATGGGCTAACCAAATAGCATTTCATCATTTAATATGACACACAAATATTTAACATGGGCTAACCAAATAGCATTTCATCATTTAATATGATACACAAATATTTAACATGGGCTAACCAAATAGCATTTCATCATTTAATATGATACACAAATATTTAACATGGGCTAACCAAATAGCATTTCATCATTTAATATGATACACAAATATTTAACATGGGCTAACCAAATAGCATTTCATCATTTAATATGATACACAAATATTTAACATGGGCTAACCAAATAGCATTTCATCATTTAATATGACACACAAATATTTAACATAGGCTAACCAAATAGCATTTCATCATTTAATATGACACACAAATATTTAACATGGGCTAACCAAATAGCATTTCATCATTTAATATGACACAAAAATATTTAACATGGGCTAACCAAATAGCATTTCATCATTTAATATGATACACAAATATTTAACATGGGCTAACCAAATAGCATTTCATCATTTAATATGACACACAAATATTTAACATGGGCTAACCAAATAGCATTTCATCATTTAATATGATACACAAATATTTAACATGGGCTAACCAAATAGCATTTCATCATTTAATATGATACACAAATATTTAACATGGGCTAACCAAATAGCATTTCATCATTTAATATGATACACAAATATTTAACATGGGCTAACCAAATAGCATTTCATCATTTAATATGATACACAAATATTTAACATGGGCTAACCAAATAGCATTTCATCATTTAATATGATACACAAATATTTAACATGGGCTAACCAAATAGCATTTCATCATTTAATATGATACACAAATATTTAACATGGGCTAACCAAATAGCATTTCATCATTTAATATGATACACAAATATTTAACATGGGCTAACCAAATAGCATTTCATCATTTAATATGATACACAAATATTTAACATGGGCTAACCAAATAGCATTTCATCATTTAATATGACACACAAATATTTAACATGGGCTAACCAAATAGCATTTCATCATTTAATATGACACACAAATATTTAACATGGGCTAACCAAATAGCATTTCATCATTTAATATGACACACAAATATTTAACATGGGCTAACCAAATAGCATTTCATCATTTAATATGATACACAAATATTTAACATGGGCTAACCAAATAGCATTTCATCATTTAATATGACACACAAATATTTAACATGGGCTAAGCAAATAGCATTTCATCATTTAATATGATACACAAATATTTAACATGGGCTAACCAAATAGCATTTCATCATTTAATATGATACACAAATATTTAACATGGGCTAACCAAATAGCATTTCATCATTTAATATGACACACAAATATTTAAAATGGGCTAACCAAATAGCATTTCATCATTTAATATGATACACAAATATTTAACATGGGCTAACCAAATAGCATTTCATCATTTAATATGATACACAAATATTTAACATAGGCTAACCAAATAGCATTTCATCATTTAATATGATACACAAATATTTAACATGGGCTAACCAAATAGCATTTCATCATTTAATATGATACACAAATATTTAACATGGGCTAACCAAATAGCATTTCATCATTTAATATGATACACAAATATTTAACATGGGCTAACCAAATAGCATTTCATCATTTAATATGACACACAAATATTTAACATGGGCTAAGCAAATAGCATTTCATCATTTAATATGATACACAAATATTTAACATGGGCTAACCAAATAGCATTTCATCATTTAATATGACACACAAATATTTAAAATGGGCTAACCAAATAGCATTTCATCATTTAATATGATACACAAATATTTAACATGGGCTAACCAAATAGCATTTCATCATTTAATATGATACACAAATATTTAACATGGGCTAAACAAATAGCATTTCATCATTTAATATGATACACAAATATTTAACATAGGCTAACCAAATAGCATTTCATCATTTAATATGATACACAAATATTTAACATGGGCTAAACAAATAGCATTTCATCATTTAATATGATACACAAATATTTAACATGGGCTAACCAAATAGCATTTCATCATTTAATATGATACACAAATATTTAACATGGGCTAACCAAATAGCATTTCATCATTTAATATGATACACAAATATTTAACATGGGCTAACCAAATAGCATTTCATCATTTAATATGATACACAAATATTTAACATGGGCTAACCAAATAGCATTTCATCATTTAATATGATACACAAATATTTAACATGGGCTAACCAAATAGCATTTCATCATTTAATATGATACACAAATATTTAACATGGGATAACCAAATAGCATTTCATCATTTAATATGATACACAAATATTTAACATGGGCTAACCAAATAGCATTTCATCATTTAATATGATACACAAATATTTAACATGGGCTAACCAAATAGCATTTCATCATTTAATATTTTCCTTAAAAATGTAACAGTAACACCTTTCATTTAAAAAATGGAGAAGTTCTGTCAGCTGATAAGTTCTGTCAGCTCATAAGTTCTGTCAGCTCATAAGTTCTGTCAGCTCATAAGTTCTGTCAGCTCATAAGTTATGTCAGCTCATAAGTTCTGTCAGCTCATAAGTTCTGTCAGCTCATAAGTTCTGTCAGCTCATAAGTTCTGTCAGCTCATAAGTTCTGTCAGCTCATAAGTTCTGTCAGCTCATAAGTTCTGTCAGCTCATAAGTTCTGTCAGCTCATAAGTTCTGTCAGCTCATAAGTTCTGTCAGCTCATAAGTTCTGTCAGCTCATTGTTTCCACGTTTAAATCATATTTCAAAATATTTGATAATAAATGCTGAATGAAGTTATTGAGGTGTCTGTTTAATACAGTTCCATGTTGAGTTTTTAATGATACATATTTAAATAGACTTAATTTCTACAATGATTTCATTACTTTGTAGACAGGTTATGAATGTAAAATTGAAAGAATAAAGTACACGTGTAACTTTACTTTCATGGACTATGGGTCTAAATGTTATAATTTCATAATCATTTTGACTTGAAATCAGTTACAGCACATTTCTTATACAAAAAGTAGCTGAAAGGAATTTAGAGACAGACTGAGAACATTCTACCTGTTTTTGAGCCTCTAAATTATCCAATGTTGGCACTTGTCCTTGGCTGTCTGTGTAGCCACTAAATCCATTCTCCTGAAGGGATGTCAGAACTTCTTGACCTAAACATTTGAGAATATGTATAATATTACTGATTGTATGATGAACAGTTATTGTGTGATAAGTTCAGTTATTATTCATTGTGTGATAAGGACATTTATTATTTTACTAATCATCAAGTATTTAATATAAAAAAAACTAACTTTTCATTTTGTTCATATATGTATATAATTTCTTTCAACTTAACTATTTTGAGAACTCTTCATCTTTCCTCCTTTTTGCGCCCCCCCCCCCCACTCCCCATTTAAAAGTGATGGCTGCTTTAGTAGCCAGGAGGGTGAGCTCTAGATAGGTCTCATAAATTATAATCCAGATGACCTGTTTAATCATTATTTTTGCCAGCTGATGTAATGAGTATTCTAGGTAAACCTGTTCTGTTACATTTGATATTTTGTTGAGTTTCAGAGTAAGACAGCTTACAATCTGAACCCAAGCAACAAAAATGTCTGCCTGACCTTGTCTGATAACTTCAGTTGGAACAGTTTTGATGGACTCCTTGAACTGCCTGTGTTTTCTCAAGGCCTCCAATGGACTGGCCAGTGGGTCAGGCCGATCGGTTGAGCCATAGGATTGTTGAATGTTGCTTTCTTGGTTGTCCAAATATTCTATTGTGGTTTTGGCGTCTTTCAGAAATCTCTCATAGCTCTGTTAACAGATCAAGAGGGTTTCTCATTATGGCAGAAATGAAAAAGTAAAAAATGAATTTAAAAAAAAATTATCCTAAATTGAAATTAATTTTTTCAAATCTTAACACCACCCACTCCCACATCCCCCACCCCTTTCAAATCCCCAACCTTCCCACACCCCCTCCCCCAAAAAACCAAGCAAATCTATGAACTAACCAGCTGGTTCCTCAACCAGATGTCATGGTTGTATTCCATGTGGCCACCAAGGTCAAAGGTCAGTTGTTTAGGATCAATATATCTGTGCAGCAGGTTTGGGGTCACAAACTGTGGCTGGAGAGAGGAGAGCAAAGAAAAGTCTTACCTCAACAGTTCAGTAGGTCAGACTTGCCAGTGAGTTCAAACTGAGCAGTGATAGGAAGAACTCAAAGGAGCCATTTTGACTCTTTCTAAATAGCAGTCAGTAAAGTTATTTACAACACTGTGGTTCCTATTAAAAGTCATAGTTCAAAGTTCAAACGTTTTTTTTTGTTTGGGTACACTATAGGCCTCTATACGGTAAAATCACTTGTTTGGGTACAATATAGGCCTATATACGGTAAAATCACTTGTTTGGGTACAATATAGGCCTATATACGGTAAAATCACTTGTTGCATTCAATTTGAATTGAAGGTTACATTTTTGTTAATATTATTTTAAAATCTATTCCCAGTTTCTCAATAACAACCCTATATGGCTCTGCCAGCTGTTTTATATGGAGAATAATTGCGGAATTAACACCCTGTGATTACCTTTTGACCAACAGTCCATATTTAAACATCAAAATTAAAAGAATTTACCTCAGATCCCAGAGATGTCGACTGATTTGCCCTTTTGTCATGTTCATGAACCACAACCAACACTTGCTTGAGATAGCCTCCCATCGTTTGCTGCAACAGAATCATGAAACTTTTAGCATTAACAGTTGATCATTCAACAATCTCATGCCATAAAGCTAAATAAGCCAGCACATATATATAATATATATGGCGTGGCAGTAATAAGAAGGAATACTATATAAGTAAATATGAGAATCTGAAGAAATTGGTCACTAGTTATATTAAAAAAGGAGAAAGCCATAGTTATCTGTATGAATGAACTGTTTTACTGATGTGCATGAAAAAACAAGTTACTGACACAACCCTGGCTATAACATGTTACTGACACAACCCTGGCTATAACATGTTACTGACATAACCCTGGCTATAACATGTTACTGACACAACCCTGGCTATAACATGTTACTGACACAACCCTGGCTATAACATGTTACTGACATAACCCTGGCTATAACATGTTACAAACACAACCCATGTGCATTGACCCATGTGCATTGACCCATTGATGCTGATGCAGACTTATTGAAGATGATTAAAGATAGCATGGGGTGAGGGGGTCACATTGCATCAGTTTTAATTTTTGGGTTTTCATTTATATTTAAAATATTTCAAGATTATGTCCAACTCTGGCTCATTTTTGGTCCCCTCCCCCATTGGACGTACCCTCAAGCAGGACATGACCATATTCAGGTTGGCCCAGGAGCCATCTCTGGTGTCCACAATGGCAGAAAAACCTTTTCTCTTTGTCTCTTCGCTGGAAATAAAATGTGAGCTTATTAAACAAAATATGTTGAGCTCCCAAGTATGTTGAGTTAAAAGCCCACGGTTAACTATATAAACTAATTCTCTTTGGTTTTTAAATGGTAGATTATAAGAACCGATAGAGACAAATTGAACAAATAAGTAGATCAATGTTTAAGTTAATGATTCGTTTGGTCGTGTTTTCAAATTTGCTTATTTTGAGGACTGTGATACTATTTTTTTTAAAGCTCCAACAACAAAAATGCAATCAAAACTAAAGAATACTAATTACCTGGGAATTTGTATGTAGTACTTCAAGCACGGGACCAATTCATCGGGACCGGGGTCCTTTCTGTTCTGCATGGAAGGGAGGGTGACCACAGGTCCACCTTGGGTGTCTCGTCCACCTGGTGGGTGAGAAAGACAACTTAGAACATGAGATTGTCATGACATTTCTGAATATTAATCCTTGAGATTTGTCGAAAACAAAGGGGGAGGGGAATTGGGGGGGGGGGGCTTTTTTCCCATTGATATGAAAATCGGACCCACTGAGACCAAGGACTGGTATATAATAATGCTATCATATCGAGGGGCGGCAGTTTCGGCCAACTGCAGATTTTTTTCTTTAAGGGAGGGTCGGCAAAAAAAGCATATGTCCAGGGGCAGCACTATCCCTAGCTAGGCTACTTCAGGCAGATCTTGACATTGTTTTGNTTAAAAAAAAACTTTTTTTTTTTTAAAGCAACAAAAAAAAACTGTGGAGATTATATATATATATATATATATATATAGTAGCAATTTTAAGGAAGCTATAAAATGTACTGAGACCATGCTGTAACATGTCCTCTCTTTTTTGGAGAGTTTGTTTATGGCAGCGCTAATAAAATAAATAACTATTGTGTTATATAGATATTTTTTGGTTTAAATCTTGTATTTCTCCATCTGCCATTTATCACACCGACACGGATCGCGACCACGTTGATGTGAACACGTCCTCCAGTCCCCCCCCTCCACTGTGGGGGGGGGGGGCGCATGTCTCCAGGGGACAGGCTAACACTAAGAGAGCAAACAACCAGGTCACACAGTTCTAATTTACAACCAGATGACAGAAGAAAAATGACGAGGCCTGTGATATAAGAAAGGGAGGTTTGTTTAGTTAGACCAAGGATCCTCAAACTACGGCCCGCGGGCCAGATCTGGCCTGCCAGGGGTCCTTAACCTGACACGCCAGGCCGCCGTAAACGGGTAGCAGTGACGAATATGGAACAGGACATTGACCATGTCATCACCCAAATGCAGGCCCTTACTTAACACGGAAATAGGTCTACTTTATTGAAAGATTTATATTGTTTAAAACTGTTCAACACTTTAAATATTCTATTTTTGAAAATTGTTATTTTTAAATATTTATTTAAACAATTTTTATATGTATATATTTTTTTTTTTTTTTTTTTTTTTTTTTTTTTTTTTTTTTTTTGGGGGGGGGGGGGAATTATAAATAAGATATGTGCAGTGTGAAAAGGAATTCGTTCATAGTTTTGTCAAGCAAACTCGGGCCCCTGACAGTGTCTGGGGGAATGCTAACCGGAACCTTGTTTTAAAAGTCTGAGGACGCCTGGTTTAGACAATGTCGGGCTTGTGGCTGTCTTACTCAACTTACGGGTGATATCATCTCTCTTAAATGGTGGCTACATTGTCCATTGTACGTGATGGAAGTACATTTTTCGTTGTTCTGTTTGTGAAACTTATTATTTTTTTTAAAAACCTTTACTTAGAATCTACTTGACCTATCATGTTCTGGACTGCTGATTCCCGTTAAAAATTAAATAATTTTGTATTATACACCACCGCTTATTTCACAATTAATCGAATAGTTATGGACTATTATGATACAGCATGACTCTGAGGTCAAGTTCTCTAGTCGCCGACTGTCGAATTCTTTTTCGAGATATTTTTTCAAGCATAGGTATTTCAACCTGCAGGCGTGCACACAGTTACATCGATCAGGGCATCTCGATTTGAAAACAGGTGCTCAATCAGATGGCGAAAATATATCGCGGTTCTCAAACAATATTTAAAAGAGAAATCCCTAGAGTTTTTTTTTAAAATTTTAATTTTTTAAAATTATTATTATTATTTTTTTTTAAAAGAAGAATGATGGGTTAGTGTTAGCTTCCAGTGGTTAGGGTTAGCTTCCAGTGGTCAGACGTTATACCATGTTATTTCCATCGATTCTTCGGAAGCACAGTGTTGAGCATATATTCTTTTTTTTTTAAATGTTTCAACTATCAGGTTTTCTGATAATTTTAGAGAAAGTATTTTATGTAGGACGTGTTTACGTCATATTTTCCCCGTGCTGTGAAATCTAGCAGTCGCTTTGTTCGTATTAGGCGTGGCTTATTCCCTTTGATCTTGACCTTGTTTACTACCACTACCAACTAATTATAATTAACACGTTCTAATAGAATTTTGTGGACAGTTCGGGAGTGAGCTAGAAGGAAAACAATGTGTAAGGCGTTTCCAGAGGCGTCGGTAGAACCGAGGCATATATATATGTGTGTGTGTGTGTGTGTGTATTTAAATTTGTTCTATGTATTTTATATGTACTGGCTGTGTACGTGTAGAGGGAGGTCTTCTTCCCCAAAGAAGGCTTTTGGCCGATACGTTTCCATTTTTGTTTCTAAATAATTTTTCTCATGCTTTAGCATCTCGTGTGCTCCACATTGACCCTTTCTGTGAAGGGAACCCTCGTTTGTGCAGTGTTACTGTGCCAATCAATCTTTTCCTTTCGCTTTCATAGCAATGTTTTCAGTACTCGGCCGGACATAGCCTGTTGGGAATGTATGTCACGGAGACTGCCTACGGCCTGCGGTAAGAAAGACGGGGCCGCCGTTAACAAGAAACCGTCGCACGCGCTAATCAATGTCACACAAGAGCCGACACCGCAGATATTTCGCGGACATAAAATTTGCATTTCCTGCACATAAATTAAGCCCTCTACAAGAGGCACACCATCTCTCAGCGGCTCTTAAGGTTCAGAAATGTCCGTTCTAGAGGCACACCATCTCTCAGCGGCTCTTAAGGTTCAGAAATGTCCGTTCTAGAGGCACACCATCTCTCAGCGGCTCTTAAGGTTCAGAAATGTCCGTTCTAGAGGCACACCATCTCTCAGCGGCTCTTAAGGTTCAGAAATGTCCGTTCTAGAGGCACACCATCTCTCAGCGGCTCTTAAGGTTCAGAAATGTCCGTTCTAGAGGCACACCATCTCTCAGCGGCTCTTAAGGTTCAGAAATGTCCGTTCTAGAGGCACACCATCTCTCAGCGGCTCTTAAGGTTCAGAAATGTCCGTTCTAGTTCTATTCTGTCACAATGAACTAATTGTGCGTTCCATTTATTTAAAAAAATATTAAATAAATAATTACATACTAAGGAAATGTTCTAAAATTGTTCTTAAATGTAGAGCAAGCCACTGGTCACGTCAACCAATGGTCCCGTAAAACCAATGATCACGTCAAACCAATGGTCACGTCAAGCCAATGGTCACGTCAAGCCAATGGTCACGTCAAGCCAATGGTCACGTCAAGCCAATGGTCACGTCAAGCCAATGGTCAAATAAAAACAATGGTCACGTCAAGCCAATGGTCACGTCAAGCCAATGGTCACGTCAAGCCAATGGTCACGTCAAGCCAATGGCCACGTCAAGCCAATGGTCACGTTAAGCCAATGGTCACGTCAAACCAATGGTCACGTCAAGCCAATGGTCCCGTCAAGCCAATAGTCACGTCAAGCCAATGGCCACGTATGTGATCTCGACTCATAAGATGTCAATAGACTCGATGGATCAGCTGTTTGTCAACCAGACATCTTCTGATATTTTTCTTATCGGATTAACATTTGAACTTTGAACTCATGTTTAATAAGGAAACGGTTAAGCCACTGCTAACGTTATAATTAACTCTACAAAACATTGAAATGACCGACCTGTCAGAAGCACGAACCCATAGTGTAGCAGCTCCGCCATGTCACCGCCATTCAACACAAGACCTGGAAGAAAAATTATTAAGAAAATAGAAAATAGCGTATCAAAGCAAATAACTGTCGAACATAGATGAACTTGGTGAACATAGTGAAAGTTGAGTAGACCTCAATGTCACCCACCCGAGCCCGCCCCATCTATGGTCAGCCTACAAACGATCAGCAAAGAGAATTCGTGTTTAAGCAGTCCCGTCCTCTCCCACACATACACACAGAATCCCCAATATCCTATTATGCAGACGTGATTAGCCCGTAATAGTTAGCAGTTCCTCCCCGCCCCTCCCACACAGCGCGAGAACATCAACAATCCTATTATGGAGAAGTACTCAGCCTGTGACAGCTAGCAGTTCCACCACATCCCACACAGAGTGAGAACCCCAACAATCCTATTATGGAGAAGTACTCAGCCTGTGACAGCTAGCAGTTCCACCCCATCCCACACAGAGTGAGAACCCCAACAATCCTATCATGGAGACGTACTCAGCCTGTGACAGCTAGCAGTTCCACCACATCCCACACAGAGTGAGAACCCCAACAATCCTATCATGGAGATGTACTCAGCCCAAGACAGCTGGCGCATGTTTTATTTCACTACTCAATACGCAATGAGGTGCCGTGGCTTTGCGTTGATGGCCAGCGCCCAAGGCCTTGCACGTATTGCGCCACCTTTTCCATAGACCCTTCACACTCACTGGCTCCCATGGTGAATATTGTCAGCGAGATGGCTTTGAATATGTTTGTATGAAGCTTTGAAACTACTTTAAGTTGCCCGTAATAAATGGCAGTGGAGAAACAATCTGGCAATCATTTTAAAAGGTCAAAAATCATCCTGAAGTTCACACTTGGCCAGGACAGAATGGCAAATACTCTTTTGAGCATCTAGTCGGATATGTTGCCTTGATTTTCAACACATCATTTGATTCCTTCTCTAAAATGAAAGTGCGGCTCAAAGACTTCAGAATAGAATATAGTAGAAGGTTTGAGACACAATTACAATACGTGTTCTGTTCTCGAAGGATCTAAGAAACAGGCTGTACCGGTGTATAAAGCCGAGGAATTGAACGACAGCCGCAGATTCAGAGACGAGAGTTATTTTTAGGGGTTCTATTGTTTTGCTACGAGACAGAGATTTGTTAACTGTAAGTGTGTAGATTCCTTTTCATCATTGTACATTATTACAACATTATATCTTCTTCAACACAAGTACCGGTACAAGCCAATCATTATTCCGCAAGTCGATAGCTTTAATTTGTTTGTCACCCTTTATATCGAATAAGATGGATTTATGATAATTTTTTCCTACCAAATTTGCAGCCCCCCCCCCTCACACACACACATCTTCTAGATATTGACTGCGTCACCAAAGGGCAAAGGTTATCGTCAGGAGTAATAATAATAATAATAATAAAGTTCATTTCAAAAACACGCTTCATCCCCAAAGGCTCGAGGCGCGGTACAAAGTCAACAAAATACAAATCTGTAATTCACCACATTTAAAACAAACGCAACACTACAAAAACTAATTACTAGCCACCCTTGTCGGTATGGGACATAGGTAGTGAAAAAGACGCACATGGAGTTGCTGGCCCCTGGTGAGCAATACATGAATGGATACAAGTGATTCCATTTGACTTCGTTCTGGCGACAGTTTCATATAGTTTTCAATACGAGGGTGGGTCGATTGTGGGTGGTGGGTCGGTTGTGGGTGGTGGGTCGGTTGTGGGTGGTGGGGCCGACAGTAATTATCAAGTCACGGCGTGACAGGAGATAGAAAAACAAAGCAAGCGATAATATCAATTATATTTACAGACAGTTCAAAGGTAAGCCTACTCCTCCGTCCATCCAAGCACATATCAACATTGACTCTCCATCTATCCAAGCACATATCAACATTGACTCTCCATCCATCCAAGCACATATCAACATTGACTCTCCATCCATCCAAGCACATAACCAACATTGACTCTCCATGCATCCATGCACAAAGCAACATTGACTCTCCGTCCATCCAAGCACATATCAACATTGACTCTCCGTCCATCCAAGCACATATCAACATTGACTCTGAATCCGTCCAAACACATATCAACATTGACTCTCCATCCATCCAAGCACATATCAACATTGAATCTGAATCCGTCCAAGCATACATCAATCAACATTGACCAACTATACAACTGTTGGACATTAATAAGTAAGTATTAAATACAACGATGATAAACAATCCTAGCTACTTATCACGTTCATTGGTTAGTTTCGCCTGATTTTATATGGTCAGGTTTTTCATTTCCCCATTAGTCGGCAAAATTACTGATTAAACGGAAAGGTCGGTCCTCCCTGGGCGGTCCATGGTTGGGACGGTCCATGGTTGGGGCGGTCCATGGTTGGGGCGGTCAATGGTTGGGGCGGTTCATGGTTGGGGCGGT